AAAAAAAAAAATATCAAGAAATTTTATTTTTTAGAATTTTGAAAAATATATATTTTTCATTCTTATGTTGATGAGAGAATTTTTTCTTTCATAAAATTTCACAATCAAATTGATTGTTCAAAAATGATTTTTTCTTTTTTTTGTAAATGTTGATAAATTTTTTTGCTACTCGTGAAATTTTTTTTATATAAAAGTATCGTGATAAACTTCATGAATAACACAGCAAATGAGAGGAGAAAATATTCCGTTCGAACAGTCAATCACCAGTGGACATGTCGCCATACATGTCATCAGCAACCGATCACCGGTGACCGCATCGCCATACACGTCATCGGCGGGCGACGTGACCGCTGGTGATTGACTATTCGGACATGAACAGTATTTGTCCTAATGAGGGGGGCAAATAAAGTTGCGGTTTTTTTTAGAGGTTGTGCATTGTGGTCATGTGTACATGTTGACACCAATATTCAAGTGAGGGGTCCGAGTAAAGAAAACTAGCTAATGAAACTTGTAACTATGATGATGGTAAAGCCCAAAAGTGACGGAATCCGTGCACAAGGTCTATGAAGAAGTTGGTACAGAATCTTCTCTTCAAGTAGGAGACCCAAATTCAATATACTCTCTTAACAATTAATTTTTAACTTAGCTGCCTGTAAAACTTTACACCTCTTGTTCCAGTAATCTCATCTCCATTCCTAAACTCTCTGTAACCCCATAAATCTCCTCTGTCAGTGGATGAGTATTATCATCTGAAGAGAACTTATGCATGTGTGAAGAATTCCCAGTTCTAACATCCACCCAACTAAAGCCCACCTCCTTCTTCACCCCTCTGTTCCTCATCCATCTCCGCACACTCGCTGCATTTTCCCACTCCCCTGCATCAGCATATATGTTCGACATGAGCACGTAAGCCCCCGACTCTAATGGCTCCATCTCCATTAAAGCGTCTGCCACTCTCTTTCCCATCTCCATATCTCCATGAAGCCTACATGCCCCCAGCAAGCTCTGCAATGCTGAAACACCAGGCCCGTTGGGTATCTTCCCCAGAAATTCTTCAGCCTCCATTAACTTCCCAGCTTTTCCCAGCATATCAACCATACAAGCATAATGCTCCGGCCATGGATCGAGCTTGAATTGATTCACCATCATATCAAAAACCTTCTGTCCCACACTAACTATACCCCTGCAGCAACAAGCTGTAAGAACTGCCAGGAAGGTTATATGATCAGGCTGAAGATTGGAGCTCAGCATTTCCCCAAACAGTTTCATGACAATCTCAAAACTTCCATGCTTGGCATGTGCTGAAATTATTGCAGTCCAGCTGATCAAGCTCCTGTTGACTGTTTCGCCAAAAGCCATCAAGGATTCGCCGATGCTGCCTCGCTTCGCATACATGTCAATGAGGGTGCCAGCCACATGCTCATTAGTGCTGAGGCCCAGCTTAAGGATCCGGCAATGGCATCTCTGACCATAAGTTAAGTAAATTGTTTGCGCAGAAGTAACTGCACTGATAACGCTGGCAAATGTATAATGGTTTGGCACACAGTACAGGATAGCTGAGGAGAACGCTCGTAGAGCTTCTTCACAAAGCCCGTTCTGGGCATAGCCGGATATCAAAGAATTCCAGCTCACTGTTTCCTTGTCCTCCATCTCTTCGAAGATCTTTCTTGCCGCTCCCATGGAGGATAACTTTGCGTACATTGTTATCAGGGTGTTTGAAACATATACATTGGTAAAAAATCTGGTTTTGAAGCAGACACCATGAATCATTTCACCCTCCTGAAGCACATGTTTGGGCGATACAGAATTGGCTAAAACAACTAAAGTTACATCATTAGGCTGCACGCCATCCA